TGCCTATGAAATAATGGAATGATTTTGTTTTAACTGTTGTCTTTTTAATAAACAGAATTCCCACATGCAAATAAGTCCCTTTTGAAGTCTTTTTTAAAATTAGACCAGCATATTCTAATCTCAAAGTTTTTGGCTATTTAGCATTTGCCACCACACTCACGCATAACATGCACAAATTTGACTCAAGATGAATGAGGTGTGCCTTTTTGGGATATCCTTATGGAACTAAGGGATATAAACTACTTGACTTAGAGACTAATAAAATTTTTATATCAAGAAATGTAAAATTCTATGAAGACATTTTTCTTTTCAAAGACCGTAAAAATCCAGATCATATTGACAATTCAAAACTCACACATAAACTGCATACTCTTGATCAATTAGCCTATCTAGAACCAAGCAATGTCAACTTAGACTATCCTATCTCTTTCGATCCTCAGTTGCAAGTAGAACCAAATCAAGAACTTAACCAAGATATGGAACACTCAGAGAGTGATCAGCCTCACCCTGAATTTGCAGCTCAACCTGAATCCCCCAATGACTTTTATGTTCCTCTAAGGTCTGAAAGAAATAAAAGAACACCTACCTATTTACAAGATTTCATTTGCCAACAGGTAACCTCACTCACCTACTCTCAAACGTATGATAAGAGGAAATGCACCGCAACTTCAGGTACTCATTTTCCCTTATATACATCAGTTTCATATCGTAAATTGTCTAATCAACAGAAGGCTTTTGCATCATCCATTCTTACACATTCTGAACCAAATACCTATCAAGAACCAGCTAAGTTTCTTGAATGGTGCAAGCTATGAAAAATGAGATTGTTGCTCTTGAGTTAAACAAAACCTGGACCGTGACTGATTTACCTCATGGGATGGTTCCTATAGGATGCATGTGGGTTTATAAGATCAAATTTAATGCAAATGAAACCATTGAGAGGTATAAAGTAAGGCTCATGGCAAAAGGATATACTCAACTAGAGATAATTGATTATCACAAAACATTCTCGCCTGTGGCAAAGCTAGTGACAGTAAGAACAATAATAGCAGTATCATCAACAAAAGGGTGGTATTTACGTCAATTTGATGTAAATAATGCATTTTTACATGGAAGTTTAGAGGATGAGGTGTACATGGAGATCCTTCTTGGGTACTCTGTTGATAAATCTTCAGGTCTTGGCCATGATAAAGGCTTAAAAGTTTGCAAACTCAACAAAAGTTTGTATGGTTTAAAGCAAGCGTCTCGCCAGCGGTACTCAAAGTTGTCAATTTTCATCATTGAACAGGGGTTCCATCAATCCAAAGTAGACTATAGCTTGTTCACCAGAAGCACGAATGATTCTTCCACTACTATACTAGTTTATGTTGATGACATAATAATAGCAGGAAGCAATTGATAAGCATGCTTTTACATACTTATTTTACTGTCAAAACATGAGTAATTATTGATTAAAATGTTCGAATATAGCTTAATTCTATGCAATTTACGTTTTGTAGGACAAAGTGATGAATGTAGCAAAATTGAGGTGAACCAAGCAAAAAATGACTAAAATGGAAGAAAGTGAAAGTTCAAGGGCTAAAGTGCAAATACTCTAAAATTGTTTCTAACCTTGTGATGAAGATTCGAGATTTTTAGAGATCAATTGGATGAAGCAAGGGAGGAACTCAATTGGATTTCGGAGATTTCAACATCATTTATTCGTGTTCTTTGGTATTTATTTTGCTAAACATTTCTAGATCTAGATTTTCATATTTATGAATTAATTTTGAAATTGATTTAACA